TATTATTCTATTAAACCAGATAAGAGAAGAATTCCCGCAATCCAACAGTAAAGTAAAACCACGCCAAAAATGAAACTCGAAATGGAAATAGTTTCTCAACTGGGGCCATTCCAGTTACTTAACGTACTTAGCCTTTTAGGCAGCTAATTCAATTGCCACAAAAGTGGGAATTTAACTTTTAATCTTTTTGTTTTACCTTTCTTTTTTGCTTTTATTTTGTTGGGCGAGAAGAACTTGCCAAGAGCCAACGAAAATGCCGTGAAAATTAAGGAGAACTGAAACCTTGAGGCAGTCCAACCACCCGCCCTCGCACCCATCTGCCCACCTGCCACGAAGAAATGCCAAGAGAGTGCGAATTGATGGCAAAGCGTGAGCCTGGGGTAGGGTTAGCACTAGCACTGTATAGAGGGTCCTGGTGCCCCAATGTGAATTGCTGTGTGTGTGTGTTTGCGATATGTCTGCCGAGTTGTCGGAGGTTGTCGAGCGAACTGTTGGCAATGTTCGCGCTTCGTTAGCTTTAATTTCAGTAATTTGCAGCGACGATTTGGCCCAAAAGGCGGCCAGACGACGTTAAAACAAAAGTGTAGCAAAAAACGTCGCGACATTTTCACGAATCAAGACGCACAGCAGAAACGTAAAGCAAAAGAAAATCAAGGCTTTATATTGAGACTTGGATTGTGCACGAAGATACCCAAGAATTATTGCTGAAGAGAGTTTTTATTCTTTTCATGAGAGGAATGAAGGAAATATTATTATATTTATTCCTATATCAATATGGAAGGGAACTATAAGAATTCATATACCTTATTAATGTTATATAGAAATATATGTACGTAACAAATAGTTTTATTATTATATTTGTTGCTTTATTTTAGATGTTTTTCTGTTTTCTTAGTCTGTTACATGTTTCTTCTCAATTCTAGAGGACTCTTTGCCTCTCTGGCTACAGGGTAGATGGCACCCAAAAGGACGTCACCCACAAGGCAACTGGGAAAACTTTCGCTCTCGCCAAGGTAAACTGAGACGTTTCTTGAGCAGGCGGCTACCCTCGCTCCCCACTCCCCCCTCACAATCCCTCACTCGTCCTGCCAATAATGCCGCACAATGCCCACCTGCGCTGCACACCTCTTGCTAAATATTTAATGACCAATGGAGTCGAGACGAAGTCGCAGTTAAATTCCGAATTCGCAGCGAGTTGAAGTGGAAGTTGGGAGTTTCGGGAGCGAACGGAGCCGTGCGCTGTAATTGCAAAATGTTTTGCAATGGAATTTTATTTACATTTTCCATGAGCTGCACAAGAAGACGTCTAGTGGGCTCCTTAAACTCTCCCCCTTCTCTCTCCCTCGCACTCTATATACATATCTCCCTCTCTCTTTTACTGTTTTGGGCTGAATTCCAATGCGATTTTCATTCGTTTCATTTGAAAGCTTTTCATTTCGCGTTTTGTTTCCTTTTCTGCACTCGCCTCGCCCCCCTCCGTAATGAAGTGTACGAATTTGCTAAAAAGCTGGATTTCCGTTTCCATGTCTTCCTCTTCCTGCGCGCGCGCACGTATGTGTGTGTGTGTGTGTGTGCGTGTATATATGAGATTCTTAACGAGTTTAGGTTCGCATGTATTGCTCGAGCAACTCCGACTGAAGGCTTACCAAATGTTGTTTGAGAAATTGTGCAAAATGAGGAATCTCAGCGCACGGGCTGCCTAGCGGAGCCAAAAATAAAAATAAAAGGAGTATCTGCTTTCGTTTTGTTGCTAATGATGGCTGCAGACAGAGCGAGTCAGAGAAGTGGATGAAGAAATATGTACGTACGTAATACGAACCTAATCGAGTCATCGTCGAGCATAAGAACTTGTATAAATCAAATAATGCTGCAGCTTGAAAGGTAAACAGCTTCTGTTCTTGATTCGTAAATTGATGTAAGGCACTGATGAGCTGCAGCAGGAAGTTGTAAAGAGAAACAAAAAT